GGACCTTCATCTTTTTTAAAAAGTTCCAGACAGTTCAGTACTTAGTTTTTCCCAGTTTTCATGTAGTGTGAAGCAACAAGGAGTATTACAACCACTTCCTGGATGGGATGTTAGTCCATAACAATGTGACCTCCCAACATTTCATCAGGCTTCCTTGTCAGTTCCCCTGTACCCATTTGTACTCCAGGTTGAAGAGAGGTGCTATGAAAGTAATTAAAAGTCTCTTGCTTAAGAACTAACCTTCACCAACTAACCCTAACCCCAGGCAACACTTTGATTCAGCTAGGTCTTGAACCCAAACCTCTGGACGCAGAATCAGGTGCACTGATCATTAGGCTACTGTGTCCCCCACAGTCAGTAAAGTGGACTGACTAACAAATAATTACTTGTACAGAGTATTAATTAAATGATAAATAAGTTAACTGTTAACCCCTAATACACCCTAACATCAATTTAACAAAATTTAATAGATTCCAAGTTGCCATGCGTCTGTTCAGTAATAGATCACAGATGACATCAAAATGTGGTAAGAACAAAAAATCAAGAATTTCTTTAGTTAGTGATCATTTCCTTTATTCTCATGACATTAAATGTGTAATTCAGTGGTTATATTGTAAGGAGATTCTGTATGCTAGTCAGTGAGGGATGTCTTGAAAAGAGCTGTTGTCATTATCAGTGATCGTTTTTCGAATACTTGATCAGAATTTTTTATACCAGTCAAGAAATTTTGTTTCTTAACCAATTTCCAAAATTAGGGCAGTTTTTCTGAAAATCATTGGGGAAACCTTGAGCAATGATTAAAGGAAGTGGCCCTATACTGACAAGTTGCTTGACAAATAATTCTTTATTTTAACACCACCTAAACCTATGCTATAAGGACTCTAATAAGACCAGTAGTGCTAGTTTAAACATACTAGATGGCCTAACTGACAAAAAGAAAGCTAACCATGTGTGTTTTATGTTATTAATCAATTATTTTATTGGATTTGCAGAGTTGAAAGATGAGGATGAAAACAGGATTTAAAGAGGAATAGATAATTGGAATGGGAAATGCACAGGAGATTGACGATGGAGAACTCAGCAAATTGTAAGTTGTTTGACTAACTTTACAGTAACAAATCAGACTATCCAAAATATTCTCATGATAACAGTGTTGTTACAAAAAATGTACAAATATGTACCCTAAGTCATTATATAAAGTTTCCTTGAAGGATTGCATTTTTGTAACCACCTTCCTCGTAGAAAAAGCCTTAGATGTTTCCTAGAAATACTTCTGTGAGAATAGTACAAAAGATTATAAACTATACCCTGAAAATTCTTCAGGGCAATAACTATCCTTTGACGCTCTTTGGAAGTTGTTTAATGGCAAACGCTTATCATATTTAATTTGATGAATGTGACTTGGACATCACCTTAAAGATAAGCCATTTTTTAATTACACCCATGTTGCTGATATTAATATTTTGAAAGAGAAATTTTAAATCTGTTTTAATTATGGAAGAAATACTTTCCAGGTGGAAAACTAGATATTATTTTTTCTTGACTGATTGGAGCAAACACAGTTAATTTGCTTTTCTTAGAGAGTGAGAGGTTGTTTTGTTGGCATATTTAATCAGGGTGAAGGTGTTGTTTTAATCAGTATTAATCAATTATTAAATCCAAATTTTACTTTCTTAGAATGAAATAACACTCTTCTATCACAAATGACAGGTTCTGAATCTAGATGAGAGATAACCTGATGTGAGTGCTATTTTGATAGACTGACTAGAAATATAAAAGTTATAACTCTAAGATTTTTACTAAGCCTAAGCAATTACATATCAATTACCTTTTTGAATGTTACTTAATTTCTAAGGGATGAAACCTCACTCTAAAGAAGCAACCATAGCCATACCCAGAGGTATCTCTCCTAGTGTTCTGTGTCAAAACAGAACATTTAAAATGAGTAAGATTGTGGACTGTTGCTTCAGAATTCAGTAATGTTTTCATTGAATATCAGACGGATTCTACGATAGTTATTGTTATGAGCTCTTCAAAAGGAGTTTTCATTTGGGAGATTGCAAGATATTTCTTTTGGTATTTAACCTTTTCACCATCAAAAACAGAAGATTTACATGTCAACACTTGTGCAGGAAAATCAAGGCCATTCTCAGTTCTTATACATTTAAATGCCTTGGTGAAATGATTTGAAGAAGTTCTTAGCTAAATGAAAGCAGATTTTTCTAATTAACCCACAAATGCTAGTATTTAAACTCCAAAATGTCCTCCTCTTACAATGGATATTATACTTACAATGTAGGAGAATACTTACCACACCAAACTGTTGCTGAGAAAATTAAGTGTAAATAGTTCAAAGAGGAACTTCTAAAGATAAGGAAACTGATCTTTTCCTTTATCTTCTTCTATTTACTGGTACATGTCAATAGAATTTCTTAATTTCTAGGCAGAGCCTTTGCCCTTTGTGCGAGAAAAAACTTTTCTGTGTAAAAAGGAAAGACAGGTTTTAACTCAAACACGGCATTTCTAAACATGGGATAGTACATGCAGTATGTGTCATTTGAAATCTTTAATTTTTAACTAGTTTCATGTAGATTGAAACCATTGCTGAGCAAATCCATCCATAACCAAAAAACGTTTTAAATGAGGGTCAAGATTAGAACAAAAAAAAACTCCTGTTACTGAATGTTTAGTTTGTTGCATTTGCCTTTTGATTTCTATGGCAAAATCCATGTTAAGAATATGTAGTGTGTTCAATCTGTTCCCATAACATTTCAATCCTTTGCACTAAGTGTGGCAAAGGTTTCCCTTAGTCAGTGCTCTAGAGCTTTGTTGTTGTAGAGTTATTCCCTTAGCAAACCAAAAGCTAACTTTTTACGAAAGAATCAGCTGTCATTGTGGGATAGATTTTCAGAAACCAAGGTTAGGAGAATACACAGCCTCTTCGAGCTTGCGTTAATACCAGTATCTGCCTGAGGCTTTGCACTGTGCACACACCTGACAATTAACTTCTTATGACCTCTTTATCAACTTGCTGAGGTCGTATTCCATGGTGATGGAACCTTTAGAATAAAGGGGGTAAGTTTCTATAGAAACCGTGGTGCTATGTCAGTGGGAGAGATTATACCAGGGTAATTTAGTATTATCAACTGAATTGATAGGGTAAATTTGCCACTGTAAAGAGTTTAACAGCTGATGTTTCGAGCCTTAGCCCTTCATCAGAGTGATTGAGACTGTTACCTTAGGAAAAGTCTACTTAGTGACATCACTGACCTGTACCTAGTTTTAAGCGTAGTCTCAAAACTTACCTTTTGAGCCAAGCTTTTAGTTTGTTGCCTCCAGTAATGAAGTGTTTTTATCTTCTTAAGGGAATCATAAGGTTTTCTTATCTCTATGTAACTTTATAGTGATTTTAGTTAGCTGCCATTATCATTGAAATTTTTTTATTTGTTTAAATTTTATTTTAATTTTTTATATTTTTTATTTTACTTTAATTTTTTTATTTTCTGCAAAGGGTATTGGATCATTCATATCTGTGCATCATATAAATTCTAATTATGCTCATTATGTAATAATGCCCATTGCTAAAATATTCTCACTGCCCATATCTAGAATTTCTAAGCATGACACCTACAATCTTCTAAAAATAATTGTTTAATGCCTTCTGAGCTTGGTATTTTCAGTGTTTTACTTAGTTCTTTAACTCCCATGGGTGACAAGACAATATCAGTTCAGCAAAAAAGGGATGAGAATAAAGAAAAGTATCATTTAGGGGATTATTTGATCCAATAACAAATTCTTTGAACTAGCATCATAAGAATGGTATGGCAGACAGTAAGGAGAATTATTATTTGGAGTTAAAGGGTTGAAGGGAAAGATTGCAGTATACACAATGTGAATAAACACTGATTGAAATAATTATATTAGGGAGATAAGTTTTAGTTATGACATTTTAACAGTAATGCTCTTCCAGGGAATATTATTAAGTGTTTTTCACTCAGCATCTTAGACTAATACATGCTGGTATGGTGTGTTTAGCAAGGGAGAAATATTTTGATGCAGCATGTACTTTGTACCCAGTCTGCAGTCTCAATTTTGGTCTTAACAAATCATCAATTGATTTTTATGGAATTTAAAATTTTCAAGCACTCATAATTTTTTTAATGTTAATTTTGTGGAAAATTTACAAATGATCCACTTTCATTGCTCCTTTGATCAAAAGTCAAGGTGTTTATTAGATTTTCAGCATTTGCATTGCAGCATTTACTCAAGGTTGCCATAAGCTGTAAGGTGACATTTATTTCAAAATCATGTTTCTCAATTCACTTAATAACAGTAACTCCGTATTGACAATATCAACAACAGCTAGGTGATAACAATTGAAAAACTTGTGACCTTGAGGGTATCATTTTGATATACTGTAATTATTCAGCTATAAGCCAAGTTATTTTCACTCAAAGTAAAGCTTCAGTTTTTTTATGCATGTGTTTTATGCAGGGGAACCTTTTTAACTTTCATCTTTTCATTGCATAGCTTTTTTACAAATTTCATTTGAGAGAAAAGCAGATTTTAGTGTAAATGTATGCAAAATTGTTGGGTCTTTGTTATACATGTACATAAAGTCCAAGAATAGGTCTTGACTTATTCACGTTGGTTCACCCTTTAATTCCTAAAAGTGACGAATGTGTAATTTTTCCTTATAATGTTCATACATTATCCAGCAAACAGGTGATGAGAATGCTTCTCAATTAGAATTTGTTATCTTGATTTAACACCAAATTCTTGTTACTAATTTATAAGGAAATAAGTAGCAGCTAGAAGAGAGAATTAACAGCCATATCTTGGAATTTAAAGGGTTGAGTTAATTTTACACATTGGAAGTTTGGGGTCAGTTGGCTTATAGCAAGGATATTGGTTACAGCCAAATACATTGTAAATGTGGTAACTCCAGATTCTCTGAGGTAATTGACATGGAATGATGTACATATCACAGTTGGAGTGGCTCATAAAAAATCAAATGTTTGGAGAGGATGGCAAAAGGTTTATATGTACAGTAAACTCGTGATTAATGTCAAAATTAATTTGTGACATGTGAATTTTAAAGAAAGGCTAGCTCAATTTGTGAATTTATGAAGCATTTTGAAGCCTGATTTGCCTCCTATTATGAAACCAGCTTATTTTTTCTATCATTTTGTGAAAACCTAAAGATTTCCCTGCCTGGAACCTTGCACTTAAAAAGAGTGATATGAAATTTCCCTTTTAAATTTTTGATGCATGAAATGCTACATTTAAAGTATTGGTGAAACATGAATTTTTCTAAAATCAGTGTTTGAATGGGATTGGGAACACCCTTTGCTTAAACTCAGCTCTTTGGAGTTATTGAGAAAGGGGTGGTGAAGTGTAGCAAAAAAGTCTTCGGTGTTTGGAAAGGGCAATTCAGTCCCAGAATATCTGAGTTCTTGATAGGAGAAATCTTTTTTGTGTTCCCTTTTTGTTTCTGATTTTGATATAAATATTGTCCTTTAGATGTAAAATGGTGACCTTTGAGTCTTTTTCTGCACAGTTTCTAAACCAGAACCTCGATCATTGGGAAGGGACTGCAGTTGTTAATGGAGAGTTCAAATATTTGAAGATGACTGATTCTAGAGGTAAGTTTTTTTTCTGTGAGCTCATAGATACAGCTGTAACTTGGAAAACTGAGAGCCTTATGTGAAGTCCAGTCACAGGTTTGTAAAGATCTTGTATGTGGCTACTGGTAATTCTGCCAGGAGCAGTTTGAAACTGTAATGCTTATAAATATTTTCCTTTTTGTATGTGCTATTATATAAACAGAGGCCTCTGCCTGGGCTTGAATGAACACATATTTGTCAGTGCATGGGCATTGCCTGTTTGGAGATGCACGAGGCAGATTCAGTCAAGTGACCTGTTGTGACCAAATTCATCTAATGAAACATTGGTTAAAAATATTATCTCTTTCAAAAACCTTCCCCTTGCTCAATTTTTGGCATGTTTCTGTGATGTTTCTCATTATCTGTTAATGATTTGTCTTCTTCTTCCAGTTTTTTCTACAGATTTTTGATAAACCTTCCCCTTGCTCAAATTCTGGCATGTTCACTTGATGTTTTTGGTCATCTGTTGATGATTTGTCTTTTCTTTCCAGTTTATTCTAATTTGTGTTATATTTATGACTTTTTCCTACACAGGAAAATATCTGGTGTTCTTTTTCTATCCCCTTGACTTGTGAGTATTAGATGTTAGAATACTCTTTGACTAAAAGTTTGCTGTACTTTGCTACCTTCATGCTATCCTGCCAAATTAGTCATCTCTCTGCAATTGCTACTGAGTAGTCAACATTGTTCTCAAGGTGACTGATATTAAAAGTTTCATTAATTGCATGCATATTATTTTAAATTGAATCATTACAAATAACACCTATTTGTTGTCATTTGCAGTACTTTTGTTTGTCCAACGGAGATCACTGCCTTTACCCTTGCGAAATGGCTTTTGGAATTCCTAGGAATTCCTAGGATTTTCCTAGGAATTCCTAGGAATTTATTCCTAGGAATTCCTAGGAATTCCTAGGAATTCCTAGGAATAAAGGTGTGAATTTTCACGGTAAATTCGGACTGGGAATTCCTAGGAATTCCTAGGAATTCCCAACCATAACAACTCTGGTTCTAAAAACCTAGAAATTCCTAGAAATTCCCAGAAATTCCCAGAAATTCCCAGAAATTCCCAGAAATTCCCAGAAATTCCCAGAAATTCCCAGAAATTCCCAGAAATTCCCAGAAATTCCCAGAAATTCCAAGCTTATGGCCAACAGGACTTGGAATTCCTAGGAATTCCTAGGAATTCCTAGGAATTCCAACTCAGAGAACCAATGACTTTCCCTGAAAAGCTGTAAATCTAAAAAATTTCTAGGAATTTCTGGGAATTTCTGGGAATTTCTGGGAATTTTTGGGAATGTTTAAGAATTACTGGGAATTTTAAGCAAAAATTTGAGGCTAATGATATAAAATAAATACTTTAAATTAAAAAAAACCCAGCTAAAATTCAAGTATTCAATGAAATTTATTTAGAAGCTTAATTAAGGCTTACATGTAAAATATTTTTGATTAAATAACATCAATGTGTGGTAATATTAGGATGGAATTTGATTTATTTTTCTTTTCTTGAAAACTTCATACGGATTAATCCTCAATTACAGCTATTCATATAAAATAGTTCTAATCAATCATTAAATTTGGTTTGACACAAATTGTGAATAAAATCTGTTGATTCTTTTCCATAAAATACAATATCTTAAGTTATATTTGAAAACCAAGCACTCTTGGGAGTGAAGGGGCTAATTACAGACAAATAAAATTGATTTTTTGATTAAAATCTTGTTGTAACTGTAACAATAAATTAGAATGAAGTTATCCTAAACTGCAAACTTAGCTGCTGTTTGTACTGTTTTTTTTTTTTTTTTCCTGGGCTCACAATGAGTTGGCCTTGAATGAGGTTGTCAACAAGAACCTTGACCATTTTGTATCTGGATTTCTTGACATCTGAATTTGAAAAAAAATAATATATTAAAATATGTATATTTAAAGCTCAGACCAGGCTTTTAAGATGGCTATGAGGAAAAGGGCATTCATTGGATTCTCAAATTGGGAAATCTCTGTTATATTGAGTGACTTTTATATTGGAGTTAGTACATCTCTCTCATGGATTTTACTAAAAAAGGGCTGAATACATTATTTTGTTTTTACCCAGGAGGGCTTCTTTATGTACTAAGGTTTGTTTAATAACAGTTCCTATTATGAATCTTGAATGTTCCCAAACGTGACTAGAGGAATCTTGAAACCTTACTGATAGGTTTATTTCATTGTAAAGCATAAGCTTAAGAAACTGCGGCATGCAAGTGACCGATTCGATTCTCAGAATTATTCTAGTTTCAGTTGCGCCGAGCGTTACGTAAGCTTAATTCAACCCGCTACATCTATTATTTTATAAGATTTTGATCACGTAACGAATATCGCAATTTTTACTCACCACAAACTTTCAAAATCGTAGCTTTACAGATGGCCACTCGACCCTTGTTTGTACCAGTCAATATGTCAACTGTTGTCCCTTCTTTTAACTCCACGGCGCCAACGACTTTCTTTTCTTTTACAACACTCACGCTATTCTCGTTTTCCCATTGAACCACAATAAAAGCTATCTTTAGAAATGTTATATTAAGCAAAACAGTTGAGAAAAGCGATCAACCGATGAAAAGTACATTCAAAGATGAGCGCCAAATGGAGTCTTCTTTGTTTCCGATCACGGGCATGATCACGTGGATCTTTTAGGACTTGTAATTGGCTAGCAAAGTGAATCCGCTGGCTTGCCGATTGCAGTGTTAAGAGAAGCGCCTAACTTTATTCTGACTTCTCCGACCGGTTCTCTGCTTCTAGAAGATGGACAGGTTGCTGATACAAATAAAGATGTGAGCTCACTCTATGTAGAAATAATCGAAAAGAATCGATCGTATTACAAATGCACGATTTGTGGCCGAAAGTTGTCGAGGAAACAAAGACTCGAAACTCACTTGAGTTGTGTTAATGGCCAAGGTGAGAAATAACACAAGCCAATCACAGTTTTGAATGCGACTACAAATCATCTTTTACCCTCATACTTATAAAAGAAGGATACCACATTCGGAAGTATAAGAGATACATAGATGATCCCAGTGTACCAGTACCTTAATCTACAAAGCTTGACCGTAGCAAGCGTTCAGCAACACGTTCCAACACCGCCATCTCGATTCCTCAGTCAGTCGTTTCCAATGAACTTAAAGCAGTATTGACAAGAGAGTAGAGTGCGTCTTACAAAGGAGAAACATTTGTACAAGAGACAGGAGTAGCTATATGCGATTACAGAGGTGCGTTGGAACTCTGGTCCACAAATAGTTATGCACTGCCCGAAGTATAAAACAATCTTGTTGATAGCTGACAGACAGAGAAGAACAACAAGTAAACTTAAGAGCTGTTATTATTGAAGTGTGACTATCACTTTTCATTTTTATATAAAGAAGGACTTGTAATTTGCACCAAAAATAAAAAGATGTAATATTTTTTTGGGAGATCCAGTGATTGGGACATTTAAGAAATTAAGTTATGAAAGGAAACTTGGTTGGTACTTCTCACTACTAACAAGTCTTGTTGACAAATATAATTTCAGATCAGAGTTTCAAATAAAGTAAATTGAAGACGTCATATAAAAGGTGTTTTTCCTCTAAGGGAACATTGACTTCCTCTGTCTTGTCTGCATGCCAAATGTTTGCAAAGTGTGTGGATGATCCACAAGTATTGGAACATATACAAAACATTTTTGTAAGAGTTCCAATACTTGTGGATCATCCACACACTTTGCAAACATTTGGCATGCAGACAAGACAGAGGTAGTCAATGTTCCCCTTTTCTTACAAAAATGTTTTGTAAGAATAAAAACAGCAAAACAAATTACAGCAATTAGTCATGAAAATAGAGCAAAAAACTGAAAAAAAAAGCAGCAAAAACAATCATGAAAAAAGAAAGATTAATTAGGTGTTGAATTTGTTTGTCTAAGGCATGAAATTTCTACTAAAAGTATTGTCAACAAAAAGTCTCTGACAGCGTTTGAGGCAACTGAGCTTGACTGTTCCAAGGTTTTCTAACAAAGGCAACCAGTAATGTAGGTTAGGGAAGTAAGATAACAATGTAATTATTGTTAATTATTGTGGAAGTTGGCAATTTCCATTTAACATAACTGACAGCTGGTTCATGAGAAAATCCATATTAATGTCAAGATTTACTAAAACTTAGTTTGAGTGATAAATTTTATGATCTTTAAGTTATAAACATGTACATGTATGTATATCTCTTGGTAAGTTTTGTATAGCATACCTTTTATTGAGCCAAAGTTTTAAGCCTCTGAAATTACTCTTTTTCTTAAAACCTTCACATTCAAGGTATTGAGAATTTCTTAGAATTTATGTGGACCTCAGGGTATTAAAATTTCCTCAAATTCAATTCCCAGAAATTCCCAAGAGTTCCACACTTCTTAAATTATAGGTAGTTTGTAAAGCTGAGAATTCCTAAGAATTCCTAGGGATTCCAAGTCCTCACAAAACTGGAGTCTTCCTTTCCCAGAAATTCCCAGTAATTCCAAGCTTTTTAAATCAGAGTTCATTTGCATAGTTGGGAATTTTTGAGAATTCCTAGGAATTCCTAGGAATTCCTAGGAATTTTTAGGAATTCCTAGGAATTCCCAGAAATTCCCAGAAAACTGGGAATTCGGTTTGCAAGGGTCATTTGCATAATTGGGAATTTTTGAGAATTCCTAGGAATTCCTAGGAATTCCTAGGAATTCCCAGAAAACTGGGAATTCAGTTCGCAAGGGTAGTGACAGAATTGAAGAGTTCAGGGCAATCAACACTGAAGTTGTTGGTTGTTCAGTAGATTCAGTTTTTACCCATTTAGCTTGGTATGTTAACCCTTTACACCCTAACATCAGTATGTAATACTATATTCTCCATTACTACTCTCTACACATTTCCAAGGGTTCTAACAAGGAGAA